CTGGACGACTTTAAGTTAAGTCGTCTGGACGACTTTAAGTTAAGTCGTCTGGGCAGACGACTTACGAGGGCTAGAAACGTAAAAAAAAATACCATTTTTTTGTTTGTTCACAAGGGGTTGGTTGTAATTTCAATAGCCTTTAAAGTTACTTTTGCATTTGATTCAAGTTTGGGTTTACTTTTGCATTTCAAATCAAGTTATGAGTCATATTTGGCAATTTTCCCTATTTACTAACCATGGTAGCGTTAGTTATTTAGTTGTTTTGGTTTGTTAAATAGTAGTAGTAGTAAACATAATGACACTTGTGAGTGTCATATCCTTCTACGTCATTAAAAATTAGTTGGTGGAGTCATTTCATTAAAAAACAAGACCAGTTTGTAATAGTTAACGAGAATAAACACTAGATCAGGCCAAACCAGTATATAATGGTTTTCTATACGTCCCTACATATTGGAAAAGTCGGATATAAACGGGAGAGATTTAATAAACTTCAGTTTATTCAAATATACTAAATTGAACCTGCACGTCTTTTGCGGATATACTGATATTTTTAAAATAACATTTTTTAATATAAAATAAGTTATAAGGATATATATTTAATATAAAGGTTTATGTATATAATATTTTCTGAAATTTTTTATTTTTGTTCAAATTGTTTTTTATGAAATTTTACAAATCATATATTAATGTAGTATTTTTGTTTATTTATTTAAAAATGCAATATTATATTAATTTGTAAACTTTAGTTTTATATGATTTAATACAAACTTATTTAAACTTTTTTGTTTAGACATTTTTATTCTCGAAATAATCGTATGTGACTACATTAAATTATTTTATATTATAATTTAAATATTTTTTCTTTAATATATTATATTTCATTTTAACGTTTTATTTTTACTACAAAAATCAAACATAAAATGTTAGGAAATAAAATATTATTTATTTTTATATAAAAACATAATTTGATAATTTTAAATAAGAGTTGGGCTATACTATTTAGTTTCAGAATTAATTACTGAAATATATATAAATTATGGTCTAGATTAAATGTGTTAAACAATCAAACGATAACTGCCTTATGGAAATATATTTATCCTTTATTAGGAATGTTATTGTTTAGATGTATATTGTTTTTGTTAGGAAAATATCATATATGAGTAAATTTAGGATGTTTAGTTAAGTTTGTATTGAATTTTGTATGGTAGATAAAATATAAGACCCTAAATAAATAGATTAGATTACTTTGTTTGCAACTTAAAGAATTTTGTTCAAAGCATATTCCTAAATGTCAAACAGAAGAACAAGTGTTTATTTATTTATTTTAGACAAAAACATTTTTTATTTATTTGATCATCTAAATATAGATATGTGATGTTTTAGACATTCTATTATTTAAAAAGTGATTTTGTTTACGTGTCATGTTCCCGATGATTTTAAGTAATTTTGTTTATTTATCATATTTTTAATATTTTAATTATTTGTCATATTTTTATTAATTTTAACTAAACCATTAGTTTGAATAATCTATATTATATATATATATATATTATATAGTTATTATATATTTAGTTATAAATAATTATAATAACAAAACAATCAAAATAAATAAATATCATGATACGAATCATATGCCAATAATTTAATTCAAATTTCAAAAGATCAACTACTCTCAGTTTTCCCTTCCAGTCTCTATTCAAGAACATGAATCACTTGTTCTGGCGAGTACTACCAAAATTGGAGGATCATCAATTTGCTTAGATACTATGGTATATTTGGAAAGGAAGGAACAACAAAGTCTTTAGTAACATAGACGTTGATCCCAGGGATGCACTCAAATTAGCGGAGACTGAATCAAGACTCTGGATGGAAGCACAAGCAATGCGAGACCAGCGGATAGCACATCAGGCAGGGGTGGTCGATATACCGATTATTCCAGGAAGATGGTGTTTCACAGACGGATCATGGAAGGACAAGGAAAAATTTTTATGCCAAGGTTTGGTATAGTACATTAGAAGGTTTTGATAGTTTATTGGGTGCAAGGAACACTAGAGCTACTCTCTCACCCCTTCATTCCGAGATTGAGGTTTTAATTTGGGCGGTGGAATGCATGAGGAATTTATATCAGTTTTGGATTACGTTTGTAACGGATTATACTCAACTGGTGAAGATGGTGTCGGAACCACAAGAATGGCCCGCTTTTGCAAGTTATTTAGAAGACATCAAAGCCTTCAGAGAAGTATTTTTCAGCACCGAAATTATTCATATACCACGAACGCCGAACAAGAAGGCGGATAGCCTAGCACGCAGTGCCCGAAACAGCCG